GTACACAATAAACATAAATATGAATTTGTTTGTTTTGAGGCAGGGTATCCCTATGTAGCCCAGGCTGGCCTCAAATCCAGTGATCCTCCTGCTTCAGCCTCACCAATGGTGGCATTACAAGTGTGTGCCCCCATGCTGGGCTAAACTTGAATTCTTAATTTAGAAGGCCAGTTATCCTTTAAAGCACAATGTCATGTCGCCAGGCATGGGGGCACACATTTGTAATCCCAGCACTTGGGAGACTGAGGCAGGAGGATTGCCATGAGTTTGAGGCCAGCCTGGGCTACTTGGTGAGTTCAAGGGCCAGATGAACTATATAGCAAAACCCTGTCTCAAAAAAAAAAAAAAAACCACAAACAAACAAACAGAATCACTGTCTTCCCACTAGCTATATGACAATCTTAAGAAAAAGGAAAGGAGGGCCGGGGATTTAGCTCAGTGGTCTCGCTGTCAGCTGTGCAAGCATAAGGACCTGAGTTCGATCCCCAGTACCAAAAAGAAAAAGGAAAGGAGCTGGGGATTTAGCTCAGTGGTTCCACCGCCTGCCTCGAAAGTGCAAGGTCCCAAGTTCAATCCCCGGTACCAAAAACCCCCCAAAAAACAAAAAAAACAAAACCAATTAAAAAGAAAAGGAAATGTTTGGGATACAGGGAAATTAGATTTTGGCAATGCTTCATAATAACTACCAGGCCAATTCCACTTATGTGTCATCTACTTTCCCCTAGCCAGGTTGGCTCATTACCAACAAGATAGGCTAAGCCATATTTTATATATTTATGTCTAACCAATTGGTGAATATAAAGTAGTTTCAAAGGATCAGAATCCGTATGGTGGTGCAGGCCTACAATCCCAGCACTTGGCTTAGACAGGATGACCACAGGGAGTTCAAGGCCAACCTGAACTACACAATGAAACCGTCTCAAAAACCAAAAATTAATGAGTCAAACAAAAAACCACCAGAAACTGAGCAACATGAACTCAACTTTACATTTTCATTGCTCCCAAAGGTAGTATACAGTATTTTTTTTAAAAAGCATTTCCTTGGCAAAATGTAAGTTATATTCCTTGAATTGTCTTTTGATTGTGGATATAACTCTTTCGGAGTAATCAGGTAAAGGAACAACTTTATAGTAGATAAATGTTCACCATACTAACTAAAAGCAAAAAGCAGCCTATTTATGGAACACTGCAACGTTCTCAAAGTCAGTTTTTCCCTGAATGATCCAATAGCACCAAACATTGAGTATACTAAAGATATACAGGGAAAAAAATGAAACTCTAGCATGATCAAATTTTTTTGTAGTGCTTTGCAGGGATCACCTATGATTAGAGGTGCCTATTAATTATGTAGTCTGAATGTCCACGGTTTAGAATTACACAACCCCCATTTGCTAGTCTTTTCTCTATCTTCACGAGGTTTTAAAATTAAATTTATTGGTACATTTAAGGTATACAATATAATGACATTCACCATTGGAAATGTGCACCTTTTCCACCAGGTTTTTTTTGTTTTGTTGGGGAGGAGCATTCAACACTCTTTATACCACTAGGAAGACAAGGTAACCTGAAACCAAGACTTCTACAAATGCAGCTGCCTACACTTGAAAGACCTCTACAGTTAATTGGTGGATACAGGCTGGGTGTGGCAGGGCACGCCTGTGATCCCAGCACTAGCAAGGCCAAAGAAGCAGGAGGATAGCAGGGAGTTCCAAAGCCAGTCTGTTGTTTTTTTGAGACCTTGCCTCAAAAAAAAAAAAAAATTGGTAGATATAGTTATATGGATATGTTGCTTCATTCCCTCCCTGGCTTCCCTCCTTTCAAAGTGTGTATTTTGTGCCAGACATGGTAGCTTATACCTGTAATCCCTGCTACTTGCCAGAGGCTGAGGCAAAAAATGGCAAATTTGAGGCCAGCCCAGGCAATTTTGTGAGGCCCTGTCTGAAAATAAAATGGAGGCTGACAATTTAGCTTAGTGGTAGTGCACTTGTCCAGCATGCATGAGGCCCCATGTTCATTCACCAGTATCAGGAGGTAAAAGTGGACCCTCAAGTTACGACCGGCCTGACATACGAACTTAGGTTAATTAGGTTAATGGAAGATTCATCTGCCTCTTGCTGTCTACAGCGTGTACCCAGGTAAACATCCAGATCTCAGCTCTACTGACTTACAATCAACTTGAGATACAACCAGCCCTCAGGAACCGATTGAGTTCATAAGTTAAGGACCTACTGTACTTGTAAGACCCTTTGTAAAACTGGAAAAAGGAATCAAGAAAGCCTTCAAATAGGTGTCATGGTGCACACCTGTATCCCAGCAATCTGGAGACTGAGGCAAGAGGACCACAAGGCCAGTCTGGACTACATGGTGAGATCCTGTCTCAAAAAAAAATAAAAAGGGGCCTAGGATTTAGCTCAGTGGTGCCACGCCTGCCTAGCAAGGGCAAAGTCCTGAGTTCAATCCCTGGTACTGGGGGAAAAAATTAATTAATTTAATTAAATTTTAACACCCCCCCAACAACAACAAAAACACCAAACCAAACCAAACCAAAAGAAGCTTTCAAATAAATCCGCAAAGCAAACATACTAAAAATGAAAGCTAGGGGATGCAGGTGTAGCTCAGAACATGCGTGCTAGGCATGCACATGGCCCTCAGTTCATCCCCCCCACCCCCACAAAAGGTAATACCCAACTCTGATGTCCTCTGCAGGTTCCCAGTAGGCAGCCAGCAAAATGCTACAGAAGGAACCCACCTTTGAGATCAATCTCAGGGTCAAATCCCAGCTTTCCCCATTATACTATCTTTTGTGACCTTGAATAAAATGGTTACTCCTTAAAACCTCAGTTTCCTTGTCTATAAGGAGGACTATAGTTTGGGTTGTCTTAAAATTCAATTAAATAAAAGATGCACAAGGAAGCTGCACCCAGCGGTTGTGCACACATAGTTCCAGATACTCAGGGAGCTAAGGCAGCAGGATCTCTTGAGCCCTAGGAGTTCCAGGCCAGCCTGGGCAACATAGCAAGACCCTATCTCAAAAAAAAAAAAAAAAAAAAAAAAAAAAGATAGAAGGGAATCTAAACTTGGCAGTTCTCTCATGATATCAATGAGACAAGTTTTGACAAGTCCACCTCTGTTCATGGGACTTACAAAGGGTTTTCCAAAAGTAATGGACAGGATAAAGAATACTACACAAACATCAGACAGACTTAAATTACATCCTACATCTCTTCAGTTTATTCAGCTGTAAAAGGAGGGGCTGGATAAGCTCATCTCTAAGCAATTTACCCATTATGAAAATCTAAAGTAATCCCCAATTTCTGCTGAATCCTATATTCATTTTTGTTCCTTTCATTTTCTTCCCATTTCATTAAAGTAAAAAAAACAGTGTCTCTTTCAAACAGGTAAGGAAAAAAAAGACATGGGTGCCTGAGAAACAGGATTTGAGTCACATTCAAATTGCAGGGCAACCTTTTCACAGAGGGCAGCATGGGGGGTGTCTGGGTGATTCGCTCATAAGTGGAAAGCAATAAAGGACTCTACTGGAAATTTTGCATTCTCTGGCACAAAGTCACTGTTAAGCACTGTTAAGCACACTGCCTGACACACAGCAGACACTCAAAAAATTTTGGGTGAATGAATATACAATTGACATTTGTTACTCCTTACAAAATCTTGACTCAAGCCAAAATTCCAGTAAAGCTGATAGGCACCTAAGAACAACACTAAATATCCTCTGAAGTATTCCTTCAAATGTTCAATCATACTAAGAGGAAAAACATAAACCACCGTGGTGGAAGAAATGCTGAAACAGCGGAAAAAAACCTTCGAAGCCAAGTTTCAACATTCCCTCCGAGATACACGCTCTGTGGCGAGGGTCAGTTTCCAGTCCTTTTCCACAGCACTCCGTAGAGATGCCGGGGCGGGGCGGGGGGGGACCTCAGCTGTAGCTCTACCCTGGGCCTCTCGACTCCTACACTTGAGCCTTCCACACGGATGTCGCTCGGGCCAGCACCGCACAGACATGAACCAGGGGCACCAAACTGGCATCTCCCCGTCTTCACGAAAGTCACTAGAGAACCACAAACTGCAAAAGCCAAATTAATCCCGAACCTAGTAAAATCGGAAGTGCCTACTTGGGATAAACTGTTTTCCTACAACTTGGGGAGGCCAACAAAAACTCCAAAATCCAGTCAAACGGTCCATCTTCCCCCTCCTCTCCCCTCCCCAGAATGCGGCTATTTTACAAATCGCACCGCCCGACCCCCGACGAGCAAACTCCAAGACCCTCCCTGGGGCGTAGATAGGTGGGCGGAGGAGGGAGTCCTCCGGCAGAGGGGCGGCCCGCTGAGATCTGAGATACTAGGCAGGGGTTCCCAGGAGACCCGCCTGCCACGGCCTCTCAGACTAAAAGTGAAAGAGGGGGAAAAAAATCCCCAGTCTCTCCCACCGTGGCGGATGCCGCAAAGCGGTGAGTGACTTTAGCAGAGTGCAGAATGGCCCGAAAGTACTCGATGCCCCCCACCAACCCACCCCGCGCCCCAGCGGCTTCCTCCAGCTCTTCGCCGCCCCGTCAGTGCAGCCCCGTCAGTGCAGCCCCCTCCCCCCCCCGGCATGGGGAGTCCCTCCTCATCCGAGCACATGAACTTTAAAATGGTGCCTCGGACGGGGAAGCTCGACGGGAAAGGAAGGATCCAAGTGGCCCGGGACCAGCGGGCGGGTGCAGGAGGCAGGGAAAGAGGCCCTAGTGGCGGGTGGGGAGCTCCGGATGACGCGCACACAGGGGGGGCGGAGGGAGGTGCACCAGGCAAAGGTGGAAGGAAAAATGGAACGCGGCCCCTTTAAGAGGCCTTCACGGGGCTCAAGGACCGGGGTCCTCTCCTCCACTCCCAGCCTGGTGTGTGAGGCCCTTCTTTGGGGAGAACCATCCGCAGACCCGCTCCCCGGAGGCTTCTCTCACGCCAGGTCCCGCCCGGCCCTGCCCTGGGGTGGCGGCTCCTCCTTACCCCGCTGTCTGCCGCCTCCTCCCAGCTCTCAGCGACCTCCTCATCTTCCATCTTACTCGCCGCTTTCCCTCCTCCCCCAACCCCTCCCCGCGCCTGCGCCCTGAAGCGCGCCTCCGTAGAGGGGGCGGGCACGCAAGACTACTCAATGGACCCCGCCCTCTGCCGAGCACCGAAGAGGCTCCCGGCCAGAACCCGTACTAACCGAGACTGCCATCTTTAAAGGTGGCAGGGAGCCCAGATAGCTGCCATCTTTTCTAAGGGCAACGCGCTAGTTCTTGTAGAGAATGGTTGTTCAGGTGAAGTCATCCTTTGGAGTACGGTAAGTGTATTCTTTGGAACCATCTTTTCTAAGGGTAAGCGGTTACTGAAAACTTCCCCCAAAACTGTGAAATGAACCCCAGGAACTTCGCATTGAACTAAATCCCCACTACATCACCAGCTTTTTTTTTTTTTTAAAGTCAGTCGTAATTTCCCTAAACTGCAGATTATGGTTACTTCAGAATTTCGAAAACTTTTTTTTTTTTGGAGACAGGGTTCTGCTATGTAGTTCAGGCTGGCTTTGAACTCACAATGGAGCCCATGCTGGCCTCGAACTCATGGCAATCCTCCTACCTTAGCCTCCCAAGTGCTGGGATTACAAGTGTGCATCACCACGCCCAACCTAAAAACATTTTTATATCTCAACAAAGGAATGAAAATATGTACAGATGCATAAAACAATATTTCTGATAAGGTGAAAATGATTACAGTATTTCCTGATCATAAAGCACTATTCCACCCATCTAACAATACCTTATATCCTCTACTGTGATAAAAATATTATGGTGAGTTGATAATATTGCACCTGAGCTAGGACAACTAGTAGGATTCCCAGCTACTAAAACTGTCCTAGATCTTTTTTTTGTTTTTTGGTACCGGGGATCGAACTCGGGTCCTTACGCTTGCGCAGCAGGCGTCGAAACCATTGAGCTAATTCCCCAGCCTTGTCTTAGATCTTTAATGACAGATAAATACATTAGCATTACCTTTAAAAGTTATTATTACCTTTAAAAGTTGATTATTATTATGGCCGGGCATGGTGGCACATGCCTGTGATCCCAGCTCTTAGGAGGCTGAGGCAGGAAGATCACCACAACTTTGAGGCCAGCTTGGGCTACATAGTGAGTTCAAGGACAGCCTGAACCACATAGCAAGACCCTATCTCGAAAACAAAAAATAAAACAACACGAAACAAAAGTTGATTATGCGTACCAATAAAAGGATATACAGTTAAAAACAAAAACAAAAAAACTGGGGCAGGGGATTTACCTCAGTGGTTCTGCCACCTGCCCAGCAAGCGCAAAGACCCAGGTTCGAGCCCCAGTACCAAAAAAACAAAACAAAACAAACTTCTTCCTAAATAGTGCTCCTGTATTCATTATTAAAGTGAATACTTTACTTCACTATTCCTTCACTATTAAAGTGGAAACCTTGGAATTTAATGTTCAACTTCAAGCACTTCCAATTTGAACCAGCTTTGTGATTGTTTACAGGTTAGAAAAGTTTCTGGGTCTCAGTCTCCCCAAGCATAAAAAATAGAGGTAATAGTAATTGTAGCTACTTCAATGCTGAAAAGCATAAAAAAATGTTAACCCATAGAAAAATTAGAAGGGATAACTATCATCATTCTGGGGGTGTCTTGCCTGTCTGAGAAGACTTATAATTCTTTTTTTTTAGAAGACTTATAATTCTTACCTCTCTAATCATCCTTTCTTTCCCCAAACACAAAGGAAGCGGGGAGCAAATACCATGTGTTTTTATTCTTGCAGACATGTTCCTGCAGTCCTCTCAGTATTAAAAACGTATCAGGCTGGGGTTGTAGCTCAGTGGCACCCTGGAAAGCACAAGGTCCTGAGTTCAATCCCTGGTACCAAAAACAACAACAACAAAAAACAAAAACATATCATTTAATGCTGTCACAATTGGCTTTTATAATTGAGTTACCTGACTTGGAATGTTTTTTTCTTGTGTCTATACCATGTTATTAAAAATGTAAGCTTTATAAAGTAAGGCTTCTGTTGTGAAATTTTACAGTTTGTATTCTTAATGATGTTGTGAATTGCAATCATGTACTAAATGTTACTAGTCTTAGAAATTAAAGTGACACACACACACAAAAGAAATTAAAGTGACAAGTTTATTAATTCTCTGTTTCATGACTTTCTGTCTCTGAGATACTGTTCATCTCCAGGTCTGTCCACAGTTCATCGTTCTTACCTAGATTCTCATGGTATAAGCCACCTCATATTCTGAAGACTCCCAAAGTTTATTTCTGGCCTTGGACTAACCTAATGTTTTCAATTCTTATTTATAAAGTTAGGCTTGTTATTAGTATCTCTATGAGAACATCACACTAGATGTTCAAATTCTCAGCAACTCTCTCTCTCTCTTTTTTTTTTTTTGGTATCAGGATCGATCTCAGGACTTTGCACTTGCAGGGCAGGTACAGAACCACTGAGCTAAACCACCGGCCCCTTAGAAGATCAAATTCTCTATGTTTGAAACCCAAGTTACTTCTGTTAACTGACTCACCATCATCAAAGGATGAAGAATTCCTCTTGTTCATTCTCTGAGACAGTATTTATTTGGAATACATTCTGTGAGAACCCATTCTTTGAAGTGGATAGTCCCAAGTCTTGGTGACAGCAAGGTGGATGAAACTATCAAACCTCACCCCAAGTCTTATTCTTTTTTTTTTTTTGGTACCAGGGATCAAACTCGGGTCCTTGTGCTTGCGAGGCAGGCAGCAGAACCACTGAGCTAAATCCCTGGCCCCCAAGTCTTATTCTTGAGGTGGGGTTAGTCATTCCTAAATAAAACTGTAGTTGTAGCACAGTAGTTTTAGGCTTTGTATTTACCCTGAATCACCAGCAGGGGGAGATAGTCTCTCATAATTTTGCTATCCTGTCATGATCCTGAACAAAAGCTTTAGCGGGGCATTCCTGAGTACTGAATGTTCAAGGAGAAAAGACAAGCCTAAATGTTGGGCATCATTAGAGGATACTGGGGGGGGGAAGCTTTTGTTCCACCAAGTGGGCAATCAGGATATGAGCCCTAGTTGATCACAGAGACCCCTTATGACTTTGGGGAAGTCCTTTTCTCTTTTGGTCTGTTTTGTCATCTGTAAAATGAGGGCCAGATAGGACCAAATAAACTGAAACTGAGGACGTAGTAGTGACACTTTCATCCTCCAGGGGGATGCCCAGAAAGCTGGGTCAGAGACATACACAGCACAAATACAAGCACAAAGAAACAGTGAGAAAACTTCTCTCTGATCCACAAGCTAGGCTATGCAGACAGTTCTGTTAAGAAATAAGTGGGGAGGCCAGGGATTTAGCTCAGTGGTTTCACCGCCTGCTGCGAAAGCTCAAGGACCCAAGTTTGATCCCTGGTACCAAAAAAAAAAAGAAATAAATGGGGAGGGCCAGGGATTTAGCTCAGTGGCACCACTCCTGCTGCACAAGTGCAAGGTCTTGATTCAATCCCCGGTACAGGAGGAATTAAAAAAAAGAAAAAAAGAAATAAGTGGTGGCACACCCCTATAATCCCAGCACTTGGGAGGCTGAGGCAGGAGGATCACTGTGAGTTCAAGGCCAACCTGGGCTACATAGTAGGTTCAAAACCAGCCTGAACTACATGGCAAGACCCTGTCTCAAAAAAACCTTTTTTTTAAATGAAAAGGGCTAGGAATGTAGCTCAGTGCAAAGGATCTGGCCTCAATCCCCAATACTATAAAATATAGGGGCCAGGGATTTAGCTCAGTGGTTTTGCCGCCTGCCTCGTAAGTGGAAGGATCTAAGTTCGATCCCTGGTACCAAAAAAAAAAAGAAAAACTGGGCCGGGGATTTAGTTCAGTGGTTCCGCTGCCTGCCCTGCAAGCGCAAGGACCCGAGTTCGATCTCTGGTACCAAAAAAAAAAAACTACTGCAAAATATAAATAAATAAATAAGGGCTGGGATGTAGCTCAGTGTAAAGGGCTTGGGTTCAATCCACAGTACTGGGGAAAGAAGGAAGAAAAAGGAAAGGAAAAAGTGGGTGGTGGGGTTGAGGGTGTAGCTCAGTGGTAGAGCACTTGCCTTGCATGCCAAATGCCTGGGTTTAATTCCCAACACACACACACACACACACACACACACACACACACAACATCAACTGTGATTTTTTTTTTTTTT